ATACTGTCGGTTAAGCAAATCAGCGTTATCATTCTGAGGTCTTATAGTTTTCAAACTACTTCCAACTTCAGCGCAATGTTTTGATCTGATTAATCCAATCAGCAATTATGAATAGACTGTTGGCAAGCGAGCGCGTCCGCTTAGTGCAGTAGTAACGTCCTAATAGCCTTATGTTGTTGTTGTTGTTGTTGAAACCGTGCATTTCATCACCTATTGAGTTTATTAAGTACCATATGTACCAAGCACTTTAAGTCCTCAATGGCATGACTCACCTCCATGGACGATAACGGCACCAGCAAGCGACGTCTTTGTCAGTAAGGAGGGAGTTCGACAAGGATGATACACAAAATTCCTGCGTTAATAATTTGGTCGCATTTGGGTTTTGACAGTTTGCGCGAATTGGCATGGCGCACGAGTTGGGAAATTACAACAGGAACAGTGATCACTGAGTCACTGAAATTGAGTGGTTATTAATGACCCGTCTTCCCCCCCCCCCAATTCATGCGCAGTTGATATAGCTTGTATATTTCTATCAAACGAATAGCGATATAGACATGCAAAAACAGCAAGTTTTCTCAATTTTTCGCAAGATGACACAGATGGTTGCGTCTGTAGTGTCCGAATTTGCTTGAGTCGTTGAATGCATGCACCCAGATGTCGACGTGCAAAATGATCACCGAGAAAGAAGGGAATGAACCATTCAAATCCCCTGGAGTTCTGTGATGTTTTCCCTATTCGATAGCAAGTTGATAACAAGCTGAAGGCATGGTATACAGTGAAGTGTTGCTGCCAGCTTAAGTTTTAGCGAAGTCGTGTAGCGGCAATCGGTTGGATCATTTTGTGGATAACTTACAACGGAAGGGCTTTCTTATGTTTCCTCGTGAGCATCTCCAATGCCGCAGCCAGTGAGGTACAGCACTTGGTACAAAAGTTTAGGTTACATCATGTACCAGAACAACTCGTTCGCCACATATCCAATGAGGTCCCAGACACATGTACGACACTGCACCAAATTTGTTAAAAGTCTGTTGTAAGATTGTGACCGAATCGCCAAGTGAAACGGATGATGGGACCACTATCGAATAGAATCCTAATGATTGTAGACAATCATTTATATTGATGAGAATATGTTAAGAAAGACTTTAGGTACCATAACAGCTGACAAGGACAGCTGCCAAGGACAGCAGCCAGTGCCATCATGTTCAGAAGCGTTTGTGAAGTCAAAAATAACCCCGTGTTTCTGACGTCTGTTTCCTAAACGAACCTTTGTGGTCACAAATACCTACAAGCCTTTCTACGTAGAATGGGAGTGGCCCTTTGGTATTCTCATCCCGTACACCACTTTTATTACAGCTCGTCAACAAAAACTGCGTTTATAACATCAGTTGGCCCCTTTTGTGTTCCCGTAGTAAGCCTATCCAACACTCGTTTTGACTCGAGCATTCGGTGCGAGTTGCAATAAACCCTGTACTCACTATATGGCCGGCAGTAGCTGGCTCAGTAGTACACTGTACAGTGCGGCCGGTGAAGAAATTGGTTTTGAGCGATGAAATATTGCTTTCAGTCAGATTTATATAAAGTAAAGTCCAATAATGATGGAGTGTGATCAGTTTGAACATCTTTCGAATGTGTCCGCAAAATAATGTCCGAAAAAGGCATTTGTTTGAGCCCATGAGAAAATAAACGCATGGTGTCTCCATCGCAGTTACAACGGCGAAAAATCGTTATATTTTTCTAACACAATAGTTGGTTACTCCTTGTTCCCTGGTTATTTGATGTTTATTATTGGCAAAGTTACTTTCGGTGGTGTAATAAGGTGGTCCCCAACCTTTCTATCGCTACGGACCGGTTAGCGATTGATAATTCTACGGCGGCCAGCTGAGGGGCTTCGACGGTTTATATTTTAGATGCTTTTGCATTAGTAATAATAAGTGAATTGCATTTAAACATGCCTCAGAAATAAAATAGAACCACACCAAACAATAAATATAAGGTGAATTCGCATGTTGACTTAATAGAACACTAAATCAGTGAGTACTTCGCACTTGTTTCTCTGCAACGAGACTGTTCCGTCTGGGGGTAAGTGGAGACAACGACATCCGAAATGTGTTGCTTGTGTCCAGTTTATTCCGTTGTTTTGTTTGGCTGCTGTCACTTCAATGAACCCAACTTCACACAGATAGGATGTCGAAAATAGCAATAGGGATTTAACTGCTGTGCTGGAAAGCCGAGGATAATCTGCCATTACTTTAATCCAGAACACCGGCTGATTCGTTGTCTCGAACAGAGTTTTAAGGCTACCGCCAAATGCAATCTCCAGCAGTTGATCTTCTTGCATAGACATGCTAGATTTGCCTGGTTTGTTCTATGAATGGGTCGCGGATTCATTCCATACCAGTTGGTGGTCATTTGTGATTTGGAAGTAGCGCTCACACTCTTATATAAGCAAAGACAGGTAATCGTGCACCAACTGGGGAAATGCATGCTCAGGGTCTGTGTCGCCAAAATCTCCGCTAATGTTTGCAACGTGTCCAAAATGCCTCTGTTCGCGCGCATTCCATACAACTCCAGTTTGACTTTACATGTAGCTACCTTGTTTTGCCACCTTGAAAACAGTTTTCCTTTTCCCATAAAGGCATAGATTGGGTACATTGAGCAGGCTGAATATATCACAAAAGCAAGCCTGCTGTGCGACCCATGCCTTGTCACTGAAATGTGCTGACAGCGATGACTTCTTTTCTGACAGAAATCTTTACACTGGCTCTCGTACTACAAATACTCTGGTTAGCGATTTTCCTCCGGATACCCGTCTTATTTCTGTGTATAAGCGAAAGCATCTGTGCTCTGCGCCCATCATCTCACTACTCTGCTCAAACAGGCGCGAGTTAAGGGTGTGTTTTATGCAATTAATTACTTCAACGACATCAAGCACTACGCTGTTGAAATCCCGTAAAATTTCTTGGCTCGCCAGCATTTCCCCGTGCAAGATTTAATGTATAGATTCATGTTCAAGTGCAACTTCCTCAGTCCGAGCGGTTGAACCAGATAGTCGTCCAGTCATAGCAGCAATACCATCTGTGCATATGTCGACACAAAAGGACCATTTCGGTTGTCCTAATATACAACCATCCAGAAACTTGAACAATTCTACTCCTATGACGTTTGTTGGCAAAAACAGTGCACATAATAAATCCTCATGCATTTCCTCCTTATAAAGATATCCCACACAAAAAATCGCATTGTCGTGTTGTCGATAACTGTAGATTCGTCAACCTTGAGTACGTACCACGGTGATGTATTAATCTTCTCCGATAATTGTCTCAGCATCTTCGGCTATTTCCTCAATTCACCTACACTCTGTGTTAGCTGACAAAAGCATATGTGCTATCATTTTAACAGCAGCCTCTCCTAGAAGTTTACGGCAAATATGTTTAGTGGAGAGCAGGATCAATTCAATACCGATAATGAATGGCTTTTTAACATTCGCAATACGGTTACGCAACAAATTTGATGCTCTCAGTGCATTCTCCTTTGGTTATGTGATGGCCCTCAGAAATTCATTCGGTCCTTCGTGTTCCCGCAATTTTCTCAAAATCCTCCAGGGCTTGTCTTTTACTTCAGGTTGCTTGGAATTCAAATGGTGAAGCAGTTTTGTAGTTTTCAGTGCCACATTAGAGAGCCGGTCGCCTCAAATTATGCAGAGCGGGGTTGGTGTATGAAGAGCACATATCTCGATAAAGCCATATTTCAAGTAGGACTAATGGTATTGTTTGGCACAAGTTATATATTTTTTGATGTTGAAGGTTCTTCTTCTGTCTCCTCACTAGGCCTTCTCTATTTCCCGAGGAAAATTTCTTAAAAACGTTGTTTCGAATACATTATTGTTAATTTGTGAGTTAAATTTGAGCACTCAAGTGACTTGAGATATAAACTAGAAAATAAAACCGTTAAACTCAGCTAGTAAATGGGGACGAAAAAAGGGTAAGAAACAAAACATACACGTACACCAATACCTATTAGTCATGAGAAAGTACCGGTGAACAGAAAGAAGAACGAGACACAGCTGCTCTCTCCCAAAACTACAACGCCAGTGCCGCTTTCTCTCCCAAAACTACAACGCCAGTGCCGCTCGCAGCCGCTCAGCTCGCGGTCAAACTCTAGTCCATAGAAAGTCGTACAATCCCGAGAGCAATACATCACAGTAAATAAAATAAAAAACTAATTTAATGTTTCTTGGGCGGCCCGGTACCATTGGCACTACGGACCAGTATCGGTCCGCGGCCCGGGGGTTGGGTACAACAGGTGTTACAGATGGACTGTAGGATACGCTGCTTTATCAACCGACGAGAAAGCCAGGGCAGAATGCTCCAATCTTTACCATCAGTGCTGCATGATGCCGCCAAAATATTCACAGAAGACCCGAAAATCCCTAGCAAATGAATTTAGAACTTATTCAAACAAAGAGAGCGCCCAAGTTTTTAACGGAGAATCAATGTAATGAATAGACACCCTACTCCAAAGTTTTCCCCCCGGAACTCGATCCCTGACTTTTTAAACGCGAGCACGAGTCAGGGCGCAAACGGATCATGCCAACACCCGTTCCTCATTTCTTAGGCACCCCAGTATTACAGTGGGGTTGCGAATCCGGTTACAAGTGCTTGGGTGCTTATATTTCCAACCTTCTAACTAGAAACTTTTTCTAAACCCCAAACAGACCAATGAACAAGTTGTGCCAGGATCAAACCTGAAAATGTACCCCACTGACTTTTCTTCATGTAAACACATTATCACACTCGTTCACAAAATTGCCACATTTCGGTGCAATTTCTCTTGTAGTGAACTCCATAACCAATGTCGCCATCATTATTACTTGATTTTTAGCTTTATTATTTATTGGAAATTGTTGGATAAAGCGTGAAAGATCTTTGGCTTCAGTTTTTGTTAATTTAATCTGGGCGTTGCAAATCAGATGGCGAGCTCATCTACCCTGAAAGACGTACTGTGCTAGAATGGGTTCCAGAGCAGTGGATGCGTCGAAGACTTCCACTTTCAGAATTGTCTTCTCTCCAAGTCTGACACGAAATTCAAAACCTTGATGCCAAAGTGGATCGCGCGTTTGATGAATTACCTGTATAGAGCGGAAAAGATAAACAGGTTAAAGTCCATGAGATGCGCAGAAAAGAACTGGTCCGATAGCATAACCAGCTGTACGCGGCCAGCAACAGGACGGCTTCATCCGCCTAATTGTTGCCAGTGCAAAAAATGAACATAAGAAATTTTAGCACGCTGTTGTAAGTAGCTTGGGAACAGTGATGGATTTTCGACTGATTTACAGTCAAATCGGGCGTCAAAAAGGTGAGTAGCGGCTCCGAGAAGGGCGAAGAAACCGGCAAAATTCTTGACTCTACACTGTGCTACGGCAATGAAAGTGGAATTGTTGTTGATGTGTTACAAATGGCCTTTAATACTCTAAGACGGCCGCAACTACGCTTTTCTCCAAAATAGCTTTGCTTTACCATATATTTTTGTAGACTCTATCGCGATTTGCTATGGAAAATGCCTTTAAACCAAACGGGTTAGGCTAACCTATATTAGGCAAGCGAAAGGAGAAACGGGAGACCAATCTGGTTTCAGCAGACTGATACATTCCCCAAGCTCCATACAGGGTGGCGACGTTAATACATCTATTCTTGAATACATTGGCATGATTAAACATCTGATATACCAGAGTAGATTTTAGCGCGCATCATGAAGGACCCATGAGCACACAGAAGGTCAAATAGTGCAACAGAACTTGTGCTTATTCCAACGCAATTGCAAGCGAAGAGTTGGCGCAGAAAGCACAGATTCTGCATGTTAGGTTTGCAATAAGTACGGCGTATTTGACGGTTGGCGCCATCCGGTTTCGGATTTGCTTGTCACTGTACATAGCCCCAGGACGCCTGCGCCACTAGAGGGCCCATGGGCGGCTTGCACTGCCCCACTCACAGCTCCAACCACACATCCCATATCCAGTGTAAACCCGAAGGAATAAGACCGGGAGGCATGTGCATTGGAGCCACGTTTCATCAACGGAGCCAGCCCACACTCCTTCACAGGCAAACACAAGCACGCTGTATTTGGGAATCAAACACACAGAAGGCAGTGGTTGGACCGTGGTCCGCTCCACATTGAGTGCATGGAACCACTCTTCTAGCCTAGCACGGCCACAAGAACCGTGCACCCCGTCCCCTCCAGCAACGACCAACTGTCTCCTGGAGCCAGTATGGCACCTTGTCAAGATGCACATAAAGCGCAGCCACACTGGGAATATCAAGCAACACTTGGGACGATGACATCAAATAAAATAAATCGAATAATGCATACAGCGACGGTGACATAACCCTTCAGTAAATGAGCGTAGCAAATATATTAGTTACGAACAAATCCGCTGCAAATTCAAGAAGTCAGCAAATATATTTTAAGCAAATGTCACAAACGCGAAAATGTTATCGAACTTAACTACAACTGGCATTAGCAACGTGTGCAAGTTTATGGGTAGTTCAGGTGGATATTGATATGAGATAAAGAAGCTTTAGGGCGATATATGCATATATATGCATATGCATATAGACTCCTTTAAACTCAGCATCCTACACAGCACATATACTAAGGTTAATCAAAAGACATGACCATACTTATTCACTCACCATGCTGTGGTGCACCGTCTTCCCGACGCACAGATGGGCGACTGGTGATGGAGGTTCTGTGTCAGCTTTGCTCAACGGACGTCCGAGCACTGCCTTCTCCATTCCTCGACCGTGGAGTATTTTGACTTTTTGGGTCGGGGAACTGCTCGGTTGACCTTCGACGTATTCGCCAAGATTTTCGCCTCGTAACAACCACACAACCAAGCGTGCTCGTGTGTACATTTGGTCCAGTCGAACGTCAGTGCGTCTGATTGCTAACTGGCTAAGCTGGTTGATTGACATCGGTTTTGTCCGATTTTCTAAATTGTTTGTGTACAGTTCGATCTTAGTCCCGTCGAAAAAGCAAGGTGGCCATCTAGGTTGGTGGAAACTGATGTTGCTCGCGTGCACCCATTCGTCCTCCATCATTTGCTCCACAGGTTCTTCCGAGAACATATTGGAGATAACTTCGTGAGCCACCCCACGGGTTAGACTGCTCATGCTCTCACACCAAGCTGCAATACCAGCACGTCGTGTGCTCTATGGAGAATCAAAACATTAATGTATATCAGGTAGGTAAAAGCTATGACGGCGGTGAGGAATCGCATTTCATAACGCTGTAGCTCTGTTGAAAGAATAGATAATAGTTCCTTGGCAGCACGACTAAAAATAGCCTAGTGAAATTGTTTCTACAAATAAGGTTGTTAGGTACAATGGTAATGGGGTGCTGGTGTCTTTAAGCAATACTTGTACAAATTGTAGCCGAGGGAGGTCATCGTTCGGTATCGTTGATTCCACGCTTTTATCATTCGTATTCCACTGATGGCTATATCCTTAACACAATATCACAAACGAACAAACATGGACACATAAGTTGCTTAAACAGTAAGCGACAGACGTCGCCGGACTTAAAACCCAATGTGACTGCAAGCAACCACGAGCTGCCTGTGCCCATACCGAGGGACTGTGTGGGGGTCTTGCTGCGTTAGCCGCAAGTTCACTCACTCTCGGAAGTTCAGTGTAAATCCCAAGGGGTAAACACTGGAGGCCGTGATCGGGTTCGAAAATACTTCACACTCCTACGACATTTGCACGACTGAAGTAATATTAGAAGAAATCTGCTAACTGGAGAAAGTACACATGGTGTTGACGGACTCAAGCGTGTTGCACAATGCAGCCGATCTTGGGTTCTGACACCGTCGTCAGGAATGCGTACCCCACTTTCCCCACCAACCACTCGTAGTGTCTGGAGAAGGTAGTTGATGTGGTGGCATAGGATACCATCCCAGTCTCGCGCAGAGTACGGTAGGATCCCATCTACCTTACTTGAATATACGTCATGCGTGTGGCAAAAGGCACATTAGTACATGGATGGTCATATATCAGTGACAAAGAATCCCGTGCACTTCACCAAACGCAGAGTTGCTTGGAATTGTGAACTCTGTCATCACCTGCTCACACTTTTATTCAAAGACTCATAGAAGTTCAAGCAACATAGCAGCTTCCTGTTGGTTTGATAAAGTATCAGCTATGTTTCGAATAGGTAATCGCACTCACCCCAGCACCAAGGTAAGTTCAGAGGAGACGAGTTGTGAAACTTCATTGAGCGTCCATGTAGAAATGTATACCAGTGAGCTGTTATATTGCAGAATAGTAAGTATACATAACCAAGTCGCTGCGTGGAAGACAATAACTTGTTTCCGGTTCACTTTTCGACCATAGCCTCAGGTTGGATGTTATTATAACCCCAGCCGCTATCCACCTCAGAGGTTGAACCATAAACCGGCTACATTAATCACCGCAGTTAGGCCTAGCTTCCGAAGTACCACCTGCTGCACACAGCTTGACACCGCCTTTAATGCGGTATTTTAGTACACGGCGAAAATTACTAGGGGTCTGGACTCAGAGTGGCGAGTGGATCGACTCCTGACCTTCTAACGTCTAATTCCGTCCACAAAATAACAGCACAGGCAGCTGGAATAACCCACCGGAGTTAGGAAAATTGGGCTGAACGCACTTCCTATGTTGCCAAGGGATCAGCCGAGATGAAATACTAGCCAAAAGGCGAGACTGTCAAAATTCTTTTTGGACAATAAACTGTATTCTGAGCACTAACACCCAAACGATCGCTTTAGTTGCTTGTTAAAAAGGAGGAAGATAACAGTTGCAGTGGCGCAACGGGCCACGCAGATGCTGGATTCATAATGATGTTGCTGACGCTGTGGGGCTGAACATAGGATGGGTGCGCAATGAACAGGCAGCGACGGGCAACAGTGGGGTCATATAATGAGAAACCAAACCCTGTTAATCATCGGACCTTACATTCTGTGGAATATTCACAACTCCAATCTGTTCTATGTGCATCTGTTTCTAACATTTGTCTATTGCAACCGTCTTGAGAGTAGGTACTGTGCAAACGTGCATCGTACCGGTAATGCCGTCAAACACATTGACCGACCATACTGCAATAAGGTGATTCCCGAATTCCGCTAATTCATAAGTTTTCGATCGACGCGATACGATTGAGATAATGTGCCAGCATTTTAATGCGAGGCCGTAACTCAATTCCACTGCTGCTATTGAAGCAGCACTGTCGACAAGATCACTGTTAAGAGCTCTGCACCGTATCCGGATGGGGCCTAATATGACAACGAAGTATTTGGCTTGAGGATGACAAAGCGATGTGGCTCTCCAGACAAGACTTTCTTGATCAGCTTGAGAGGCTCTGGTTGCTATCGATTTTTGTGGGGACATAGTATGATAGGAATACTGATGTAGGATTGGACGGTGACAAGAAATACGCGTCAGTAACTAGCCGTATGTGTCATAGCAGACGGAAAAATTCCATGAGGTGAATGAGGCTCAGATTATTAAGCCGACTATCTTTCACTGCGGGACCCTCAATCAACCGAATCCGACCTCCGCTACTCGTTGGATGGTTTGATCTATGAAGGTCTCCGGCATATGACCTAAATGAAAACCGTTTCCCTTTATTCGGATGTACGTTTGAGACCAGCATTTGGTGTTTACCTCAGATTCCGTAACCTTTTATGTAGGGTAAAATATAGGATTTGAAGTATCTCTGGGTACTTTGTTGCACCCAACTGGAGGTACCAACGTTCGTGAACTGGCCAACCACCACCTTGAAATAGCTGGTTGTATGTAGGCTTTATCCAACATCAAGTGAACGCAGTATCGACTGTGACCGAAACGCCCTCCATCAGTGTGTTCGCTCGCTTAACAATCGGTGTTGGGGGTGGTCTCACTAACTGAACTGACTACCTGATTTGTAATCAACTCTGATCCTGCTGTCTATGAGGCCACCATCCAGAGACTACAGAGATAATGAAGTGATAAGGGGACAGCTGTTGGCTGGAGCCGTAGTCCAGATACTTGGCACAGTCGAGAAAGAAGGTGCGGAGGATGCAACTTAGGTTATCTATGTCATTTCCCGGCCAAGTTGTCCTCTTGGGCAACAGAAATAATCTGAGGGCATTCAACATGAGTCTACTCAATTAATTTGTTCCGTGCGTACGCCAGTCACTTGTGCAGGTGTGTAGGTGTGCGAGTATAGCCCGTCGCCTTCAGCCAATTGGACCTCAGACGCACAAAGTCATAGGGGTGCAGATTGGACGCTTCAGCTCCTACACACGGAACAAGTTAATTTAGTAGACTCATGTTGAATGCCCCCTATTATTTCTGTTGCCCAAGAGGACAACTTGGCCGGGAAATGGTGTAGAAGCTGGTGGACACGATATATGATGCAAGGCAACCGGTCAATAAAACTATATTCGCAGAGCATGAACGGGTTGGAAAGGATCACGGGTCAACCGGTACATGATAATGTTACGCGTCCTGTTTCGACGGCCAGACGATTAGATGCTCACTTCCTCGTGACAATTCAGATTAAAAAAGCATAGAGACATTGAGACTATCACCGTAAAGCCAGTTGGGACACGGCAATTAGTAACTCTGGCTTTCTTGTACCGATGAGTGGAAGGCGCGCTGGGTGCACTCTGCTCGAAAAATCATTGCATTCAATTCCCTGAAAATACAAATCACGAGATGCATCTGCCGGAAATCATGCAAACGTGTAAGATCGATTGCGCGGAGCAAAACTTTGTCTCACATCTAGCTAACAGAAAATCATCCGGCGTCCACGCCATCCATTATACGTGAACGGACTGTTCGCTGTGTTCCCTTAATGAGGTTCCGATCCGGCAGGCAGATAGAATTAGGCTCATTCGAGTAACCAGCTACTAGGTTACTTGCTGATAGTAGTTTATGGCAACCATGTTAGGATAGGTAACTGCCAGCTACCTGCTAAACTAGTATAAGGGCGTTGTATTATCTTGACGGACGTAAGTAATACACGCTAGGTTTATGAGACATCCAGCCTATCGGTGCCTCGCAGTAGCTCGTAAGGCGAAACTGAACTACGTTATGCTCCACCCTGTTCCCTACCCGAAAAGCCACTCACGTGAACAAGTAAAGGGGTTGGCAAACACACCATGTCCGACCCTTTGTGAATGATTGGTAGGAATTTCAGGTCACTATGTAATGTGAGAGTTCAATGACCGATCTGAACAAGAAATAGCTTTCGTGATACCAATGAACAGAACTCTCATACCACGCAGTTTGCAAGTGAGTACTGCAGGCTCCAGACAAAAGTCACTTGCCCACATACGGTCACATGAATAAAGTCAGCTATGGCTGTCAAACGAAATTACTTCAATCTCAAAGTAAAACGCACATTTTTCCCCTTATATGGCCTAAGACGCAGTAGAAAAGTCAAATAGGTTTCACGTATGCACACCAGACTACAGCATTGGAAGCGATTAACTTTTCCTGAATTTGGTCTACGCCTGAAAGAGTGGGGTCACGTAAAATAACTCAGAAATGAATTTGACGGCTTCCTACACGAGCGATGGCTACACTCTTTTATCGGGAGTTGTGAGAGAGAGAGTGGACAGGAGTAAGTTAATTGCCCTAAATGGACTAAGGGACTCCCAGTTTTGTGAAAAGTCATTGGCGGCAATCGAAGATCTGGTGATGAACGCATGAACTGTTTATCACTAGGCTTCTGAATAGAATTGTGCTTCTGAGTATCTTTGAAGATATAAAGGGTAAATGATATTAATGTATTCATATCTTACACAAACATAAAGAACAAATTGATTGAAGTTTCAGTCCAGATGATTAAGGGTGCCAATGATTTCTGTAGTGCAACAACACACTGAGTGCCCTAAGGAAGTTCAAAGAGTGCTCTGCGATGATGTAGCCAACATTGTTAGATCATGTAGTAGGTTAAGTGATCGATTGATATGTCGATTAATTGGTGAGCTCAAAAATGTTCTAGTGCAGAGATGTGCATGTTAAGAGGCGTGCGAGCGTAGCAGCATTACGGCTGGAAAAACCGCAGTGTTGACGATTCATTGTACAGTGGCCAGTCGTTCTCACAGCATAACATAGCCATCCCGATTAGCGACATTTGGAACTTACAAAAAAATTGATGAGGATTCCGGTTGGTTCGCTTACGTGATTGCTCTGAAGTGTTTAGAAAAACGACAGCTTACTCAGAATATCGGTGCCAAGTGGTAGTTAAGCCTGTACTCGTGAGACAGAAACTTAGTATACTTGTTAGTTAAGCACAGTCTAATATCTCCTATTTTTTCTCAGGAAAAATCCTGTGAACGTGCTGAACTTTTCTCTCGTTAGGTAATTATGGCACCTCATATATATACCGCAAATACCATAGGCTACCCGTTATTGAAATCACTGATGTACGTGATGACTGCAAAAATAACCAACTTACATTTCACTAACTGATGTAGCCGAGAGCTATGGTGGACATATCTGTAAGCCGCATGCCAAAATGTCCTCAGCACTGTATGTGTGAATAACTATCACTTAGCTGCGCGTGTGCTCTAAACCTATATGGTGATAATCGCAACCCTATATCCCCATATCCAATCACAGCCACAAACTTCAGCCTGTGTTATCTCACCAAAAGTCTACCCTGGCCAGTATATAGGATCATCTAAGACATCTAAGGACTCAGGAAAATGGATCGATTGTATGATGACGGTTGACTTGGATTTATCAAGAATGTCACCGGATAAATCCATAGCATCGCCTTACCTGAATAGCCATCCATCCATTGATCAAGGCCACGAAGGCACACAAGGTGCCCCAACGTCTTTGCAGATTGAACGCGATTTATCTGTTTATCACCAAAATCCGGACTCATGTTTAAAAAACACGATGTATTCTGTTCGAGCTGCATGGATTGACACTAGTGTGCCCCCACCACTTATAGTGAAGCCTTACGACTCCAGCGCACCTAAGCAGGTTACATTCCACGATGAAAATGACGATTGCGTATTTACTCATTTCACCAATCTATACAATCAACAACCTATTAGTGCCACGACGCAGGCGACACAGCCTCGAAATTTAGCGTCTACTAGCGAGTTCCATGGAAGCTCGCTCTATAATCCTCCTGCCCGCATGAGCTGCTATGCCGACCATGAACCCGCCCCCGTATCCCATTTTCTACAGGGCCATACTCAGTCACAATCCCCTCCCCTGTGGCTACCTCCCAATCCCTTTTCAACGAAGGTGTCAATCCACGCCTTGTTTCACCAATTTTTGGCATGGGCACAGACACAAAGCTATCAAACCCAATGTTCATAAAGCAGCATAAACAACGTTCTTCACATCTCGCATCTATGTTAATATTTTTGATTAATATTCGTTCGCTTCATTCCAAGATCCACATACTACGCTCATTTGTTTCTGTGACCGATCCTGACATAATATTTATAACTGAGTCGTGGTGCCATGACGACATGTCTAACACCCAGCTAACCATTTTCGGATATGATATGTTTATGAGAAATCGGCAGTGTCGTCGAGGAGGAGGATGCGTACTTTACGCGAAACAATCGCTGGCAGCAACGACATTCGAGAATCCAGTGTTGAATAATGTGCAAGAGTCACTTTGGCTTACGATAACGATCAGACACCAGCAACTGCTTGTTGGTTGTATATACAGCACGCCAAAATGTAGCCAAGAGGATTTAGTAGTTTTGACGTCTGCATTTGAATGTGCCGCAAGCCTTCCGTTTAAACACAAGATTATCGGTGGTGATTTCAATCTGCCATCGATTGCATGGTCTGCAGGAACTGCTCCTCTGAAATTTCATAATCTTACCTCTTGTATTCATATGAATGGTTGGCAACAACATGTCTCCAAACCTACCAGAAGAAACAGCATCCTTGATCTCATTTTCTCACTGGGCATACCTGCTATTAATGTAACGGTCCTTAATGAATTCCCTGGGAGCGACCATCGGGTGGTCAAATGCTGTTTAAGATTACGCATGGCCAACGAACCACACCCACTGCACTATCGTTTATTCAACTCCGTCAACTGGAACACGTTTAAGGATATGGTTCGTTCGATGAACTGGGATGATTTCTTCCTCTTTCCATGCCCTCAAAAGCAGCAGACGTGTTCTATGATATCATCGGTCTTTGCATTGATTCATTAGTGCCTATAAAATGTGTCCGCCTAAGAAAACAAAAACCCGACCGCAAAGTGTTAGGTATCACACGCAAGCTACATAAGATCCGGCGGAAATTTAGATTAACAGCAGACTTTGCACTAATACTGCAGCAGGCAAAGATCATCGAGGAACTCGGGCATCTAAATGTTCGCAATCTCATATTAGAAGAATACAAAGCTTTGGATGGCCCGAATAAAACAACGGAACTGCCCAAACTGTTTCGTGCCAGAGGTTTGCGTCGCAGTAATTCCATCAATTTTATCATAATGCCGGATGGCACGTACCTTGATGCTCCGGGTGAAATTTGTGAGGCTTTCAGCGCCTATTTTGCCGAATCAATGGTTGATGAACCGCTAGCCACACCAGCGCTTGTCACACCACACATTGCTGAAAGTTTATGCACAGTGGAATTCACTATTGCAAAAATCTCCGGTCAAGTCTCACGCTTGTCTTCCTCGACTTACCCAGGACCTGATGGAATTCCCCCTTGTTTGTTGAAAAGCGGTGGGAACGACTTGTCTCTTCTATTACTCAACATTTTTACGCTCTCTTTTAACAGTGCAGTATATCCTAAGCACTGGAAGACTTCCGTTGTTATCCCGCGGCATAAGAATGGAAACGTTCACGAAATTAAAAACTATCGCCCCATCAACCACACACCAGTAATATCTAGAATTATGGAAAGGATAGTGAAAGATGAATTACTTATTTTCTTGAATAAGAAAAACGTCATCAACAATTCACAACACGGTTTTTTGCAGGGCAGTTCTTGTGCGACATGCCAGACAGACTTCTTAAACCACACAACGGCTGCCATAGACAAAGGCAACAGTGTTATTGTCCTGTTCTTAGACATGCAAAAAGCATTCGACAGAGTGCCGCATCGAAGACTACTCCTCAAGCTGAAAGAAATAGGTATTGGAGAACCAATGTTTTCTTGGTTGTCGTCATACCTAGCTGACAGATATCAGGTGGTGCGTATTGGGGACCGTGTCTCTAAACCGAAAGCAGTCACCAGTGGAGTAATTCAGGGAAGTGTACTTGGTCCACTTCTTTTTCTCCTCTACGTCAACGATGTATTTCATAGAATAAGACATGGTACTACTTTTCTGTTTGCTGATGACATTAAAATCGTCTACTCACAAGAACGTGCAGATACCGGCGCAGCCTTGTGCCACATTCAGGTAGATCTATCGGCACTTGAATCCTGGAGCAAACTGTGGCAGATGTCCTTTTCCGTGGACAAATGTAATATTCTGTCGTACAGATGCGAAGTTCCACCAGATAGTCTATTATTACAAGGCACGTTTATATCACAGTGCAAAGTGATTCGCGACTTGGGTGTACGGTATTCCACTACCTTCAACTTTTCGGAACATTGTGACTTCCAAGTTTCGAAAGCCATGAAGACTATTGGCTATATCTGTCATAAATTTCAACTCACGGAATCTCGTAGCTGGCTTTATAAAACATATGTGTTACCTGGCATAGAATACTGCTCACTAATACAGTCGAATCTGCGGAAATCTGACCAGCATGCTCTTGAGAGGGTACAGCGACGCTTTACAAAGAAGCTGTGCGGATATTCCTCCAAGATGACCTACAGAGAGCGCAGTGAAAAACTTGGACTTGACCCAATTTGGCTACGGATAATGAAGATGAACTTGTGTTTCCTGTACAGAATAATTCACCATCACATGCACAATTATGCTAACTGTGTCCATATGGCCGTTAACACTAGATACGAGCTACGAAATAAGGAGACAACGGTCATGATTCCAAAGTTCAATACGCGAATTAGGGAGCGTTTCTTCTTACTACACTGCTCAAAGCTTTGGAACAAACTTCCAAGAGCTATCAGAACTTGTTGCACATTGCGTTTGTTTAAGCTTTCGATAAAAGATTATTTAACCGTTCAAAATGTGATAATAATGTTTCGAACAGCACAGTCCTTAGATAACGCTTTTGAGAACGGAGTTAATGGTGCCTGAAAATGCATGTGATCAAGTGCACAAGTGGTTATATTTTGTTGGCCCGCAGCACTTTATTCTCTTTTTTTCTCGTGTGCGATCAACTCTCATGTGACTGCTAAAAACTTGTCAGACGATAGAACAAGAGGAATGTAAATATTCTGGACCGCTTCGCGCTATACAAATTTTCATTTTGTGCTCACATTTTTTAAAATTTATTATACCATGATATGAAACTGCTGTACCATTATTTGATCCGTCCCTTCTGGGAACGGCTTCTCGCATCGTCGAGCCATATACAATTTATTTATTTATTTATTTATTTATTATTTCACCAACCATGCAGCCAGCTGCCCTTGACGATGAAAGAATGCATCCCTAATAACCAAACCGTGAGTTCGTATTCTCTTTGTTACTTGCGCTAACATTAGGAAGCACATGGACGTGCATGTCAAGTCACTTGACAATGACTATCTGTCTGACGGGGATTATGGTGTACCTTATTACGTGAAGTGGTCCATCAAAAAATATAGTTATCACAACAATTTCCCTTCCACAATTAGTCGTGCAACTGTAAGCTGGAATTCATAGACAAAACAATAACTTTATTCCATATGAAACTCACTGCTGATGGGGTGACCAGATGATGAAGCGGGCTTCGTGTATGGAAAGACTGTGTTGTCTGTCGGTCGGTTTTTAGTTGTTTCAACAGTGACTGGCGACGGTCCGACGAGACGCTGCCTTCCGGAGTTTCATTTAAAGTCATGAAAAAGTTAACTTCGCCAAGGTTTTGTTCAACACTTCTTCCTGTCTCATCTTCCAGCCTCATAGTAAATTCCTGTTGTCTAGTAAATGATGGAAACACAAATTTAGCGGGATATTTTTATATGTCGTCACGTGTACGGGATATGGCAAACAGATGTAACTCTGACCTCATACAAGTACGTGCTGCGCACAAAATTTCAATGAAAGCCAACATACCACTGCATCCGTGTATCAAAGCTGCCGTTGTCTACGCCTGAAAACGACGATGTTATGGATAGTCGTCGATTTGAAGAAAATATTTCTATTCTACACATCCTTAATATGTCCAACACACAAGGAGTGAAAGGGATGAATGTCCGGTCCATGAAAATCGCCTTCACCATATAATTGACACCGCACTACGAACTAGTAATACCCAGGTCTGAGGAAATGGCGAGTTTCTGCTCCCTGCAGTTTGATCTGACGCGGCAGTGCCCTAGAAACGACGTACTTAAACCAGAGCAATGAGGAGTCTGCTTTGTTCAAATACCTAAAAGTCACTGGTCCTTGCGTGTGCAACAATTTCTGTAAAATTTCCGACGTTGACCACATCTTTATCCTAAACAGTTCTCTAAGTTGGCCAGTTCTTCGTTGCTTGTACCTTCACCATGTCAACTATATGGATGCATACCACTGTAGGTTGACCGTTTCTGTATGTTGAGCATTTTGGTACAATCCATTGAGTGGTCAACTTACGATGGTTTACTGTATGTAACACAGTCCCCATCCCAGAATCTTGTACTTCGTTTCGTACTCTATTACAGCCAGTCAGGTCCTCCTCAACTCTTTCGCGAGCTGAAGAATGCTTAAGCGGGCAGTGCTATGTACACGACTTACTATCTCTAGTTCAGTTCCGTCTGTCCTTCAGCTATATCACAATGCGAAAAGAGATTCTGCTGACTTGAAGTGGCAGTTTCACACCAAGATACCTCCGTTAATTGGCTATCAACCAATGTCAGTTCTAGGGCTTATCCGCAATTTATCGTTTGCTCTGTTTTACTGTGAATCATTGACAAGCTTTTACTTCAAAACTACGTCGTTACTTATGGACGTGTGGTGAAAATACAAAGGAGTTCAACAACGGCATGATTGGCGAACTTTCAGTTACTTTTCGTCTACTCAACGAATTATCAGTCCTAGGAAGGCTGTTCACGATGTTAAGAATGGTAACTAATTGAAGACTGGTAAGAAAAATCATATCTGAACTTGTGTAGACAAATTTTACCCCGACAGAAATCATGCTCGCGATGTTGATTTTTCGCCGATTTCAGGTGAGCAAATTGGCTGCTTAGCACAGTGAGCAAATCATCACCACAAGTTCTAACCGGAGTTGCCAATGTTTCACACAGTTGAGATTAGGATAGATTTGACAATCTGGTACCCTAGTCAGGTGAGCCTATGGTGGACCCACCTATAACACAGAAAAACAGGTCTCTGCGGCCGAAAGATAGGAGTGAAAGAAATAACAAGGGAGGATTACTTCCATTGTTGTTTCACGTAATCTGGATAATTTAAAAATGAGTTTCTTAATGCCATGGACATCCCACCTCAGCGGTGCACCCAACTACCGGTATATCCCTAATTAGACTCTATGGGCAGAAACAACTTTACTGAGGGTTCAACTCCATAACTTCACCGTCTCCGTTTTAACGCTTTAACATCTGCCCGGTATGCATCTCAAGTGATAAGGGCGACCTTGATTCACTTCAAATACCTTGTTGTAGATAGTTTAGGCAGTAGTTACAGAGTATGGAATGAAGACAAACACGTTATAGGATAGATTCTTAAAGGATAAAAGTAAGGGGAATGTAAGTGGACATTTCACGTACTACTATGACCAAGCAGCACCACGCTAGCAATGATATTTTGACTAAATAAAAGACCGAAGAAAAGCCCCTTGACTGGAAACTTTAGATAGCACTTATTCGACTTTAATGAGTCCAGTTAAGATATCTTTAGTTGCTAACGCTTTCCAGTTCACGATTATTCCAATGAACACCACATAAACAGGTGATCGCTTGGCATTTGTTAAGAACACGAACAACCGATAACGTAACAACTAATGTGAAATTGCACTGCGGGAGATTCGATTTGATCTCACATGCGTGACCAATTAGCTAAATACTTCGAAGAGGAAAAATGTATGGCGGGACTAGCCAAATTATAGAACTCAGGAACTCATCTTAAAAGCAACCCACTAATAACGGAAGAGTTAAAGGTTCCTTTACAATATAACAACGAGACCAGCACCCGAGTTGGGTAGCTTCGGTGCTGTTCTTTCCAAACACTGCACTATACGGCCATTGCTTCCCTGTACTTTACACGTCGGGCTAACCCGAGACGGGAGTGGCACAGTTTAATCATTAGGCCATTGGGCTCCGCAAGTGTCGCCTGACACCATGGTTAACGGTTTATCCTCTTAGGTTTTTGAGCCTGGACTGTGACACATTATCGTAATTAACGCCATGATTTCATTTAGGGTAATTCTCGGTCATTTTCATCACTGGGACATCATTCAGTATCCGCAGAGCTCAGTGGTCTAATGATTAATGTCTTAGCCGACAGGCACTACGAATCTGAATCTACCCTCATCCATCACTACCTGAAGAGTTTAAACTAGGATAAAACCGATCCTGAAGTGTAGTGTTAGGAGGCAGGGACCCGGAAACTAGTCACATCAGATGCGGTTCCAGTTCTCGAAGTGACGGGGATTACTTTTAAGTAAAACCTGACTTCACTTGGGTCATTACAGGTACTCTAAAGCCTTAGAGTGGATCGAGACCCAAGTTGTTCACTAACACATCTGACACGAACTCCTCTTCGTCATTCCCCACGTGACTGTTGGGATGGCTGTATACGAACTGAACATCCACTGTGTATCAGAATCCTGAAGCTACGTTTGTAATTGCTTCGTGACTGTGAGCCCTTCACCAGAAATAAAAGCTGTTCAGCATTAATAAGCCGCAAAAGGACAGCAAACTAGTCGAATGATTTTATGAGCCTATGCAAGTCTGCTTCGGTTTGATTACGATTGATCCTAGTTAAACCACTCGAGATTAGTTGTGTTGTAAGGGAAAACAAAACGCCGTAACTATTGATATGTTCATTCAACTTACATTCCTATGCTCAAGTTCTTCAACGGGACCAACACGCGTCCAATATAGTCGTCTTTTTTGAACGCATCCCGGTTATAAACGCGAAGCTAAAAAATGGAAAACATGGTCAAATTTGCATTGGTTACTCAACCCTCCGTGTGTTCCGACTATAAATGCATACATAATGGACACTTCAAGTTAGTACAGAAGGAACTTTTTATCCAAGCAGTGCCGGTAGACAATGTCTTCCTGATGAGGACAGGTCTTTGAAGCTAGCCAAAAGCAATGTCGACGAAATACTGATGCAAGCATTTATTAAAATTGAAAAGTAGCAGCTGCTCGCAAAATTTTAAACATTTGGTGTTGGGTCATTTATCTCAATGATCTTTGCAACCTGCTACTTGTTTGTTACCACATTGGACATTAGGGACTTAAGTATTAATCGAATGTAAGAAATGAGACTGGGTTACTCACGATTGGGTAAGCGCTTCCCTTGAGGACCTAAACAAATTCTGGCACCTCTCCAAAGAACAGCGGTTGATCATTTCACGAATGCAATTGTACCGCATTCACAAGGATGAGTTGGGAGCACAGTTAGTCTATAAAATTTCTCTTGGGTAAACTCAGTCTATTTTGCTCTCATTCGTAACAATGGACAGCTCTTTACTGATGATATATCATACTAAGCGTCAAGAAAGCCCACGACACGACAAATAAAGCGGCTTGGACGAAATACACCAAAGGACACCACTTCCTCCTTCCATTAAAACCACTACATTTTTGGAGTCCAATAGATCGTCTATACACAAATTGAAGTGAACTAGCACCAATAACCAGTATCCAGTTCTCACCAGGCATGCATCGATAGATCAGATGATATGCTACATTTGGAACCCGCGTGCAATGCATAACATTCGACCTGTTTGCTGTATAGGCTGGTTTTCTGATATGATCCTTTAAGCCAAACATTTCCCTCCTTAAGTACACCAACAGTTGTCAACAATCTCATGTGATCGTGTGCCTTGGTGATTAACACGTTTACCTTCAAGGTAGACTTGTGTGTGTGTGTGTGTGTGTGTGTGTGTGTGTGTGTGTGTGTGTGGACAAACTCGAATACGGCGCCACTGTCATGTTGCGACACAGTACAACTTGTTAAGCTGGAGTAGATTAAAATACACAAGAGGTCCAGCGATTACCATTTGAAATCATAGCCATAAACACCCAAAGTAACAGCGTTAAAGAAATGAATGGGTGTTAAAACGCACTTCCATGGGATATTCTAAATTATTTATTGCGACGTAGAATGTCTCGTCCCACACCGGACTGCGGTTGCCAAACACCGTGACTGTGCGCCGGAGGGTCTTCCCGCGATATTTCACCTTCACGTAGGGATCAATTTTCCCTGTAACAGTAACCGTAGACATTGGTAAACAACGTATCGTTTGGTCACAGTATCAAAAAATCATCAGTAAACTAAAACTTTTGTACTCAATATATTGGAACATATTTGGAACCGATCGGGAAGTCATCATTTCAGAAAACTTGGTAAACGACCGGTTAATGTATTTATGGTGATACACCATGTATCACCATAAAACTTTTGTATGTACCGACCAGCATGTACAAATCCTCGACCATATCAAATGAAAGTAGATCAGTTCAAAACTGAAATACACCAACACCTGCCAATTCACTTGTGTCCGGATCAGTGCGCATCGTGGTATTCATCTAATGGATAGGCTAAAGTTATATGCATATATCAATGGTTTTAATGAACGTAGCAAGGCAGGCAAAATGTGCCTAATGATGCTAAGTTCTGGGGAGGCAATTCAGTGGTCCATTTCCGCGCTACCAATTCTATTTTGATGAGGTACAATCCCAGGCCGAACAGATCAGTTTTGTTAAGGTGGTATTTACTGACTCACAGCAGATAAAACCAGAAATATAGGTTCCTGATACTATTTGCCATGAGTTTCATTCCGATATCTTTGCACTCACTAAAACTGGTTGGCACTCGTGTGTGGACACTAATTATAATTATCTGGTTATGGATTACGGAGAACTCATCACCCTTCTGATAGTCGTAGAGCGACAGTGATGTAGTAATTCACGACTTTTCAAGAATTAGACATAAATATCGAAAATCCTTTGTCAGTGCATACAGTAATTCAAAAATCGTAACTTACTAGGTTAAGAAAGCAATGAAATTGCCTACATAATAATGTTGATTTCTTTCACTGCCATAGCAAACTTCTGGCTTCAACCTTCCTGTGGTTTAAGCACCTGGCTACCCGGCCTAGCGTTGCAAGCATCGTTTACATCAATTTTGTAATCAGTTCGTGAACCTGCACACCAGGATCATAGAAGGTCAAGCTCGGACCATTTTGGAGGTCCTGCTCGCAATTAGGTCTCGTAAGGGATTAATTTACGTTTCATGCTTCGGCACTAATGGTCACAAATGCCTGACATTCAAGTCTGAACTCACCAAAGACCATTTGGAATGCATCATCCAATTGGAATCAGGGCCAAAGCCACCAGTAAATCTTGAAATATATCGGCAGTTAACACCGTCTAGAGAGTGTGGCATAAATTCAAGCCCTTTTATGGTCCAAGTGAGAAAGAATGCATATGAGGAAGAATGTTTACCTCAACTGAGCTCTAAATACTGAATAGATGTATATTGCATTGGCAAACTTGCCTACTCACTCCCTCGGATAGTAGGTACGGCGTGGTCGAGAAGTGCGGTGTGCCGGCAAAAGGTGCTTGTGAGATGATCCACTCAGTAACAAAATAAAGTCACCAAATTCAAGTTCGGTGGACTTAAAATGTTGTCTGATTATGACAGAAACGGGGTCAAAGTTAGCTCGCTATGTACTTAAAACAGCAGGAAGCACCTCCTGGTGAATTACGGACAGGTTTGTTTAGCAATTTTTCTATGCACGTCACTGGGGGAGATGATCTTATGTAGCATAGAAAAACAAGTTGACAGCGATCCTTTTGCTTAGTCCGTCTCTACACCGCTTACGCACAGATTAACATTGCTTGATCGAATTATTGGTTGCTCGTGCACTCTAGGCTCAAATTCTTGATTTTGGCGGGGTTTTTCTCACTGGAACACGCTCTCGCATTGCCGACTTTGGATGTTAGGTTTCAGTTGATTCATTGAGACGTTTTGTTTTTCGGGGTAATAACCACTGTAAATCATATCGTCCCTCTATGTAAATAGATGAAAAACATATGATGATGTCTTCGAGCGTCAAGTTCGAGGGCGAGGTGCATTCAAAGATTGGCTGGTACACTAATGTGTTACACAGATATTTCACAATTGTTATTTTTTCTGACATACACTAAGGCAACATATTGTGCTAGGCCGTATTTCAATCTATTTATCATGCGGTATAAGTTCATTGACGGTTAAATATAATGCAGTACAGGAACGGGGAACTGAGAGTATCAAGTTCCGAGTATAACCCTAACTACGTCTCTTTATTCATCTTCAATTTCATAAGGCAGTTTGCATCAAATGGTTTGGGTGGCAGAGGGATATTCTAACTATAACCGCGATCCGTACATAATAAGCCTCACCACCCATATTCCTGGTTATCATGACCAGCGATTTCGACGGTCCGGATACTGTCTGACATCCACACTTTATTGAATGTGGTCAAAAGTCAGAAATGCTGTTATATTTATCATGAAGAAAAATTTTGGAAACAAACCAAACCATTGTTCTCGTTGGCAACGTAGCCTCAGTCCTCACCTTAACGAAAAAAGCGCAAATGCTACTAATACTTTTGGCAAAATTGTTAACCCCAGTGCTCTCATGCAGTGGAACGAACAGGTAGATACATCATTCATTCTGTCACAAAACCCCGATTGCATACTTCTGTAGAAAAGGCATCAGAAGTAGGACGGTACGCAGTACCGATTCTTCGCTGCCTCGCAACCACCACTATTCGTACATGGGCTAAGGATACTGCGTGGGTCGCCCGGTCCTCTACGCAGGCCAGAATGCGCGCCCTTTGCTTATAACGCAGGCTTGTCAATCTTAAGTCTACGGGCCGGTTGCGTGGAAAATGGGATCATTCACCTCTATGATGGAAATAATCTTCTATATCTTCTCTCTATCTTCTCGCAGTGTAGTCACCGTACGCTCATTCAAACCGGATTTATCAGCTCTACACAGTGATCCATCATTCGGGGAATTAACTTTTACAACAAAAGTCCTAACCATCGCTAACGGATTTGACTATCATCCGTGATTGAATTCGAGCGGATAACTAATTCACCCTGTGCCCATTGCCTTTCTGTGTAACACCATTCAGTGCTGAATTTTCGAGGCAGTCCGAAAAGCCTAAGATTGTTCTAATCGGGTGTTTCTCAACGCATCTGTGAGGGAATTTGTGATCTCTCAATCTGTGTTCAGCGTTGTGTTTGGATTCATTTACTAGGTCCAAAACTAGCCGGACCTAATATCTATCAACCGACCAACACTGCAACGTGTGCTTACAAAGGATCACCGCTGACAGCGGGTGCGCCACGCTGACGCACGGGAAGCTGCACTAATTGAGCATCTGACAAACGCAATACCTTAAAACTTCACGCCCTCGGCGAACATGTCTCACGTTAAAAACAAGTGTGATTGGTGTTTTAATTTGGTGAAGAGTGTGTTAGTTTACAGCAATTGCTTGAAAGCCTATCACACAAAATGCCTTGGGAAGGAGGAGAAAAAAACGAGACGATACAATAACACGACAGAGGCGTTTTTGTTCTGTCCAGTATGCAGTGCTTTCCCAGCTGTTAACTAACTGTGCTACTGAAGAAGTGTGAAAAACTAATAGAAGCAGTCGAGCAACTGGTGTGCGCCAGACTTACGCCTATGAGAGGAAACGGACCTGCACTTGTATGTGAAAATAATCCCCCGAATTCCCCATTCAGGCCGAAGAAGAGAGCCAGGCGTCTCAACCTTGCGCCGACGCCTCAGTCTCAATCAGTACCAACACCCTTCTGTCTCTCACACATAAGTAAAAACATTGTCTGTAGCGTGCCTGCTTCAACTTCTGTATAAAATGTTAAACCTAGTAGTTTGTTCCCTATACAGGAGACCTTAAACTGCAGTCAACCAGCCATAGTGAAGAAACTGATAACATGCGCATCGATAGCCGGAAAAAGCAACGGTACTCTTGGTGGCCGGACTAGAGAAAACTAACATATCGCAGCACGGATGTCTCTCATCAGTGCCGTTCACAAATTCACCAAAAGCATCAAAACCAGTAGCCACCAGGGGCAAGCATGTTGCCTTAAACTTTGTGTGCGCTAATGTCTAGATCCAATGCAATTAAGGGTAGGCTGACAGACGATCGAAATCAATGGGTTCCATCTGTACGGTAATCGGCGTCCATGCTGCTCCCATGACATAAAAACTCATCTCGCGTCACACAAATGCATGCACTACTGTAAACCCCGGTTACTTCGGTTAACCCTGAACTCGGTGGTTGAGACACAGTCCGTTCTGCTGTCTGCGAATCTACTCCGCAAAGCCTCAAGTGAAGTGCGCATACTTCCTGAAATCCCGTGGAAAACACACGCAGCGGATCCCTCTAACAGAGAGAAGAACAGAAAAGTGAAGAGAAGAAAACTGTACTTGCTCATGGTGTTCCTGAGCTTACTGATTCCACTTTCCACGATGCGCAGGTACAAGACCAGGATCAATGGCACTACATGCGTGATGCTCTTTTTCTCGAAAATGTCGTGTTCACCTCGTTGACAAGGATCCCCTTATCACCGAAGTATAATGGGTGCGGTCCCAAACTGCTGAAACATGTTGCAATCAAAACTAATGGCACAAACTCTTCTAAAGAACTGAACTGAGTTTCGTAGCAGGTTGCCAACAGAAATTCGTCTGAAAGCAGCAGGAACACCACCACCTTCAAACAAAACTCAGTGGAGGCGCAACACCCAATGAAAACACCAACTGTAGGACCTGACTGGGTGACGGTTTCAACAGTAGATATAACATCCAGAGGGACACAACAGAGCACGAGCGAACACCGAGATCCGGGGCATCTGATACTTGAATATTTACCAAATTCGTCTCGTGACTGCAACCCATCCAAAAAGCGATTATCTGCCGACCTTACATTGGTCGGCGTAAACTCACTTTCTTATCCATTCCACCCAATACATTTTTGGTCTCCGATAAGCTCTCACGCGTATACACAAATGCCAAAGGTCTACTGAGCAAATTAGTTGAATTAAGACTCCGACACGTGTTAGCAGTTTGGGACCTCATCGCTAGCACTGAAGTGTGGTTGCGCTGTGAGATGCCGAAATCGCACTAACAGGTATGTCTGTTGTCCGGAGTGATCGAGCCAGCAAAGTCGGTGTAACAGCCCACTACTT